TGGTTCAGGGAAGGATATTCTTAACAGTGAAGCAACTGGAAAGTTTTGGAGCTTGGTGGTGAGCAGACTAACTCCTCATTCTTCAATAATCGCAAGTGGATCCTTTTTTGTCTTTATTAGAAATGCAAAACCAGACCTGAACTGATCCATGCCGATGTCAGGCTGCTCTGAGCTGGGAGAACAACTGGGGTTAGGAAATCATTTTAATGAAGATGCTGTATCTAAATCTTACAAAGCTGTGTCCAAACTGAGCTCAGTAACACCGAAAAGTCAGGGAAACAAGTCATGGATCTGAGTTTGTTCCTTAAGATTTTGTGATGAACTGAAAAGGGGCCTTTCTCCCGGAGCTATGGCTGGGCTGTGATATCACCAGTGCACAGTTTGTGACTTCTGAGCACTGTAAAGATCTACTGGTTGTAATTGAAATGCTGGCTGATATGAAAAATTAATGAAGGAAGGAAGTGTGTATGAAAGCATCAGAAGAAACAACAGAGCAAAGCCTAAAACAATGGTACACACTGACAGCCAAGAACACCATTTACAGCAATAAATCTGGGAAAGGTGCTGCTTACACATACCCCCCCCCCTCTCCAAGGCCAGCACTCAGCTGAGGCCCAGCACCAGGGCCACCTTGCTGGAAGACTCATGCTCTGAGAGCAGGAGCATGGCCAGCAGGTCATATCAGCCCATACACACCTGCCTCCTTCCTCTCATTCCAGAAGTAGCACGGAGCCTGAAAAGACACCCAAAATGGGAAAACTAAAATAATGGGGAAAAAAATTCCCAACAACTAAGATTCATGAAGCACCAACTAAGCTGAATTTGGAGGCAAAACGATGGCAGCCATAGAAGCTGCTGGTTGCGAGATGGCACACCAGACCTGACCAAAACTCACCCTGTCACTACCAACTGAGAGCAATCCAGCAGAGGAAGCAAGGACAGGACAGGTGAAGGCCCTTGACTGCTCTGATTTTGGGCAGACCACCTGTGCACATGCATCTTGGTGCCTGCAGGTATTTAGCTGTGATACTGTGAGTAAAATCTGATAAAATAAATTTGAATCCACAAAACGAGTTTCTGGAGGGCTTTTGCAAGTAAACAAACCTTCCTCCTCCAGTAGGATCTTACAATGACCTTTGTTGCTGTCATTTTCTGCAAACATTGCCTTGCTTGGCACATTGCATTTACCAACACCACAAGCTACACAGTGTGGGAATAACAAAAAAAGTTTTTGGGAACAGTCCTTCCATATCTGGTCACAGTTAATGGAGAGGTATTAAATGTTGCTCTAATGGCTGTCCTTCAATCTGTGTACTTCTGAACAGCTAAATGCAATGATACGATTAACAGGGGCTGGAAACAGAGTAAGATACTCAAACATTCATCTCACAGGGAATTAAAACAATACTTACACCTGATTTTGTAATTCTGTCATTAATAATTAACCTTGCGTTTTGACCTAAAAAATACAAGTAGGTCAGTTACCTGTGCTGCCTGAGAATATGGCCCCAAACCATTACGTTCTTACTTTGCTATGAGAAGACCCAACCCCTCTGAAGGAGCAGGCCTGAACTTACACAGCCTTACACTTACAGGAAAGACGTGCATTTTGGGTGTGAGTAAAACACAGCATTTGGCCGTTTATAAAATAACTTCACTTGCCAAAGTGCAGTGAGGCAGAAGGCCCAGTGTGACAGGGAAGTACTGCACTGAGAAGAGCCCATGATCCCAGCATGGGTTCCTCACCACAGCAGAGTAACAACACAGTGAATGTTCCTCTTCTGATAGAGAGTGGGTGGCACTGGGAGCTGTGTGATACCAGACTGTGAGATTTTGTGATACAATATTACAGCTACACAGTGTCATGCTGACTGCAGTGCTGTATCCCAGTACTCCACACTGGGTTCTTCCACCTATTTTTAATCAGTCTTTGAGCTGTCAGAGAGTGGACTGGTCTCCTCTGCCCATTTTACACAGCCCTACAGCTCTGACCAGGAGCATAGGACATCACAAAACCAGAAGTCAGAGTTGTCAATTTTCAGTCAGAGAGGGGGAGTGCTTTACTGTGTTTGTGATTAACCGAAAAAAGTGCCCAAACCAAAAAAACCCAGAACAAAAAAAATACCAAAGAAAAAAGCCCCACCACCAACCAATCTGACGCTTTTTAGAAAAGAAACAACAACAACCACCTGGGTCGGAGTGTTCAGTCCAACTTCCTAGAAGTTTCCCTGCAGCACGCTCGCTGGGAACAGCAGCACCCACGGTCCCACGGGCAGGACACCCAGACCAGCCACAGGTACCAGGAGCAGCGCAGCCTGGAGCGGGCCTGGAGCTGGGATGCGGAGGGTTTCGAGCGGCTGCCACCAGTCAAGGCTCTCGCTTTCCCCCGAGCCCCCAGACCAGCCCCGGTGCCCCTGCGGGGTCTGCAGCGAGCGCGGTCCGGGCGGGCACACGGCTCCCGAAGCACTGCCCGGCTCGGCCCCTGCGGCTGCTCCGCTCCTGCCCCCGCAACCGCACCCGATACCCTGCGGTGGGGCCGGGCGGCGGCCGGAGCCAGGGCGGGGGACACTCTTACCTGGCCAGGGTGCTCTTCCCGGCGCCCGGCAGCCCCCGCAGCAGCACCAGCCTCCCGCCGCCGCGGCCCCGCTGGGGCCCCAGGCTGAGCCCCCCGAGGGCGCGGAGCAGCCGCTCGTCCATTGCCGCGGCCCCGGGCCCGGCGGGGAGCGGGGTCGGGGCCGGCCCAGGACTGGGGGCCCGTGGCAGCCGCTCCCCCTCCCGACCCTCGCCCCGGCCCCGGCGCCGCGTCCCACGGCCCCCGCGGGCGGGCGGGAACCCGCGTCCCTCCATGGCCCGGGCGCCAGAGCCTCTGCCCCGTGAAATCGAAAGCTGCCTTAAGGAGAGAGAGAGACAGGCGAGGACGGGCATCTGCGGCTCGTACCGCCGAACTCTCAGCTGCGGCACTCGCTTTCGACCCGGAACTTTAGCCCAGAGATACCATCTTTGATTAATTAAAATCAGGATTAATCTCCAAATTCTCAAAGGCAGGAGAACACAAGCCAGCGCCGAAAGTGTTCAAGCCCATGTGCTGCCTGTACGTACTGAGAACTACAGGGCGGGCCTGAGAGGGAATCATCAAGGGGATGTAGCTAAACAACCACCCTGCACCGCACGGATGACCCTGTGCATCACGCTCAGTACACTACCCTAATTCTTTTTTTTTTTTTTTAAAAACATATTATCACATGAGAAAGTAAAGGAAGTTTAACAAGATTTATTTCCTCTGAAGAAAACCTGATCTGCATTAATTCGATCACTACAGAAGCAAAAGAAATTATAGTTTCTAGTAAACCCAAAAATAGTTGGTGTGGTACCACACTCTCCCTCTTAGAACCACACACAGCATCAATCCCAGCATGGCTAGAAGCCAGCCTCAGCTATGCCACAGGGACACAATGCCACCAAACCTCAAGGCTGAAGCCTTAGGTTCTGACGTTTGCCAATAGTGCTAAGGAGAGGGTTCACATACAGGGAGAAAGCTTAGCTCCCAGGTACATGGCACACAAACGCTAACTGAAGCTGAAGCAAGTAGGGAAAAAAGTGGCAGGAAAAAAGATACATAAAATTTGAAATTCATAGATACTGCGGAGGGGAGAGTTAAAGTAAACTTAAATTGGCAACAACCTCCTAGGAGGCATAACATGATTTGTGCATATTAGAATACTGCGAGATTTTGAAAACTGTTTTTATTTTAAGCCTTCTGTAAGGTCATTATCCAGTAAGAGAAAATAAAGGCATTCAGATTTCTGTCTCAGTAAAAGGAAGCAGGAAGACAGGATTAATCCTTGAGTGACATTTTCTTGAAATCAAACTAACTTTTCTGCTGCCAGTGGTACCTCAGTTAAGTCTGAAGCTGCAGTTAGCCCTGGCATGAATTACCTTCCACCTCCCCATTACATTTTGTATAATGTTCTGCTGGTAGGAGAGCAGCACACTCCCAGCTAAGGAAATGTACTTGGCAAATGTATTAAGACAGTGTGGCCAGTAAATTTCACCAATGGTACAACATTAATTTAGAAATGCATACATTGTTGACTGCTCACATGTAGATGCAGTATTTAGGTAGAAAGTGGGGACACATTGGCAATTTAGGCTGTAGTGGAGCTTCAGCATGAGTGCAGTCAGGTCCTGGATCATCAACTGGTGCTTAATGAAACAGATGCAGGGAAAGGTGAGGAAGAGGAGTTGAATGAACAAATGGATAAATATTCTGGATCTGCAAGCTGTGGATCATTCATCTTTTCTCACACTTTTCACCGTTAAGTGAGGTGACAGTTGTCTTTTATGTCTCTCCTTCTCCCTACAAAGAAATGTCCAGCCTTATGAATGCCACATAATTGACAGAGGTTGCTCTTTATAATTAATTGTAATTTAGCTCACTCTACATATGTAAATATTTCTAATACCTCTAACAGAAACATCAAATCACTAGTTACTAGTGCAAGTTATACATCTTCTCAGTCTAACACAAACCATATACATCCTTCCTCCAGTGTATTTGAATCAGGTCTATAGTGAAATTTTCTTATTTCTGTAGTCCCAAATGAGTCTAGCTGAAGGGAAGCATAAAGGGAAGCATAAAGCCTCATTTCAGGAGAAAAGAAGGTAAGTTGTGTACCCCTCTATGAATGATTAGGAGTGACTGATGAAGATTTATTTCACTTGAGGTTGTAAAGGGACTAGGATGTAATGATGACTGACAGGGTGAAAGGCAGAAGTAGGCACATGTAACAGGCACCTTTCCCTGCAGGCAAGCATGACTTTGTGGCAACATCTTGGATCCCCACACAAGTAAATTAAATACCAGAGCTTGAAGCTCACACTCCATGGCAACAAATGCTTCTGGTCTCCACTCTCAAACTGTTTGTACCACACTTGAGGTTATATAGAGAAAGTATAAATCCCAAATGGCTTCAGAAAGTGACATTTTGCCATACCCAAAGTCATCTCAATTTTGATCATTATTACATAGACAGAAAGGTTGATACTGGGGAGCTGTGGGAGAGAAGACAGACAAAGAAAAAAAAATCTACAGTGGTTTCTTTCTTCCAGGTTATCCCTCACATTTAAAATCCTTAGTGGCCAACTGTAGTCCTTCCATGGTGGAATCAAAGTGAGAAGTTTCTGAAATAAAAAGACAACAGGTTCTGCTGAAATACCACAACAACACAGGCTGCAACAAGACTTTTAACAGCTGAGACCTGAGAAAGAAAATCCATACTGAGAAGAGTTCACCTGTCCAACATTTTTTAAAGTCTCTCATACTCAGCTGTTGGTTATTTCTTTAAAAAGTTAAAAAAGAATGGAGAGGAAGAAGACAATAGAAAGCAAAGGGAAAATAAAGAAATGTAGGGAGAATAGAAAAGGAAGAGAAGAATTTGGATGTCAAAACTAGAGGCAATAAGGACCTAACAATCTCAAGGCTAAAAAACAGGGAGAAGAGTAACACAGTGGATTTTTTTTTCTCTATACTTCACAAATCCTATATAATGAACAGTTGTTCAACCAAAACTAATATTGTACAGCTACATCTCATAATTGTTTTGTTACAATATGAATTGTTTACTCTGTTACATTCACTCAGGACCTCACAGACTTCCAAGTTACAGAGTTCATATGAGGCACCCACACAAGCCAATCCAATGGCTGGTCTTTTCTGAGAGCTCCAGAAACACTGCTGTGGGCAGCTCTTATTCCCCCTAGGTAATTATATTCTCTGCTTAAGTCATTTTTGGGCCAGGTTTTCTCAAAAGCACTGAAAAAAGTAGGTGAGGTTTTCTGCTCATAATTCTGTACACTTTTTCATGCTTCATTTTGTTTACTATTAGTGGTTAAATGTCAAAGGACAGAGAAATTTCTTTTTTTTATTATTATCATGGTATCAAAGTACCAGCTAGAAGAGGTTTGGCCATGGGATGATAGTTTCTGTGGCAATACTGGAAGATTGCTTTAGTTTGCTTTGTATCTTCTAGATTAATTTCTTCATACTAGACAAAAGACAGTCCTGCCTGACCCAGCTATATGTTCCTGTTCCTTTGGCTTAGTCCTCCTCTCATGGACTCTAGATGAGCTCCGTGTTCTAGACAAAAAACTTTTTGGATGTCTTCATGCATTGGATTATGGAGTTGAAGTCCTTCTCTCTGACTGTGGAAGCATTGCACGCAGCAATGGGAAGTGCTGGGAATAGCACAGCCAGGGAAAGGAGGAGTGATAACGCACAGCACCAAGAGATTTGTCTCATCAAAGCCACACCCTACCAAGCTGTTGTGGAAGAAGTCTTCCTGCAGGGAGTTCCTGAACACCACTCTTTCAAAAAGAAACATGCCAGCTTTTACTCTGCCGTGGTCTTGCAGATAAATGCTTACACTCACATCAGGTTCTGTCTTCTTGTGCTACGTTTGTATTGCGTTTGGCACTTGTGAGTCCTTGCCTAAGAAAAACTTACAGGCACCAAATAATGCTGTTTTCAATGATCTCAACATTTTTTAAACTGGGAACTCTTGCTTAATCTGCAGAACAAATACTGATGTGCTGCCAATGCTTCAATAAGGAACTCTCACAACAGCTTGAGATTAACCCTGTATTTTCACAGAGGAACACCACCACTGTTCACTCTCCCACTAGAATGCAAACACCCTTACACAACATGAGTACAGAAGAACAATCATCTGGCTAACAGCTCAAGTTGCACTTGGCCAGTAATGCTGAGTTTACTTTCCAATCTGAAGGGACTGAATGATCATATTACCTCTCCATTTATTTCCTACGTTTTTAAAAGTTTTCAGTAGAAATGTCTCAATTTTCTTATCTTTTTTTTTGCCCCCTGGCATTTGATGAAATCAAATCCATTTCAACATTTACAGTTGTCCAATTGAGCAGTTTTACAACCACTCTGGGACATCATTCTTGGCGAGTCTGCTTTAATCAAGAGAGCAGAGGAGAATTCCCTTGTGGTGAGGAAAGACAACCTTATCCCTCAAAACCAGGGGCACCATCAGTGAGAAAAACTCACCTGCCTTTTACAGTACCTACTCATGTAGACTTCAGAGGACCGCTGGAATACCCACGTGGGGTCTGGCTAGGGGTCTGTGTTACCCTGTATCCTGTGCCTGACTGTGAGCATGATCCGACTGAAAAACCTAAGACACGCTTCTTCCTTTTCATATACTTTTCTTGTTTAAATTTTTTTAACATCCTACATTCGTATGATGAAAAGCCTTAAAAGCAGCCCTTCATCTGAAGGTTTGGTTGCATGGTACGTGGTCCCTGGTATCAGAGCTGACTGACACCCAAACAGGGTGCCCTGCACGTCCTCTCCTTGTATCTGTAGCAGCACGGCCTCGTCTGCTCCCTTGCCCCAGCTTTGGCACTGAATTGGGCTTTACAGCTTATCTAAACTTGTCACTCCAGCAGAAAATTACCCATTTGTTTCCTGCAGGGTTAGCAAGCTAAATTATAGCCTTCATGTCAGCCAGGAAGTGTTGGAGCTGATCTCTGAAGCAGGGCTGGCAGGAAGGGCACTTTATACCTTTGGCAGCAGCAAGCCATTCATGGTCTGAGAAGGCAGATCACAGCTCCAGAGCAGCCTAAACCCATCTGACCTCTACTGTCTCATCTTCTCCCTCCAACCACCTTCAGGACTTTCCCTGACTCATTTCCGTTGTTGAACTAAACCAAACCAGAGCACACAACCCCAAAACCTCCTAACTTCCCTCCTCCTCCCAGCACGAAACTCCAACTGAACCACCCCCCCAGCATCGATTTCCATGACCGAGCCCTGCAGAGAATGTGCAAGACCTTTTTATAAACCAAACACTGACTGAGAGTCTTCTTTCACGGTAAAATTTGCATTTTTTTGATTCTACATTCCTAGAACTAACATAAGCCAATGCAGTAGAGCATTAGACTACAATCACAGCAGACAGTGGCTGGGTCACACATGCACAGGGCTGCGGGTCACTTCTGTTGCCCTCACGACAAGCAGGAGAGGAAGACAAACAATTTTGGGAGTAGCACAGCAAACAGACAAAAGGGGTACATCTAATGGAAAAAGAGAGGTTTGGACAATGAGGCAAGATACTCTGCTAGCGTTTGTCTTTCTTTTCTTGTAGCACACAAAGGCAAAAAAAATAAATTAATGTTAATCACAATTTTCTCCTGGGAAGATAACAGAGCTCTCTATGTCTGTTTCTTTAACATATGAACATTTCAATCAATAACCTGAACATTTCTGGATAGTAGCTTAGGATACAAACGCCACAGACAGTTAGTCAGTACCATAAGCCAAAATCTTGCCTTTAGCGCAATATTATAAATAAGTAACTTCTAAAAATATGTAGCAGGCATTGGGCTAAGTATTTGGTTAGAATTTCTTTTAATTTGCTTAACAAATATTGTAGTATTTGATTATGTAAGAGGACAATATCATGACCAGAAGGTCTTGATGTTATTAAGGATCCATCCTGACAGAACCATGTGAGATCAGTGCTGTCTGTACTAAGTGGTTCACAGAGATTCACCTCATCTTCCTATGTCAGTAGATGGTACAGGGTAATCAGCAAATGGCCTGCAATGTCATTTTTGTAATCAATGATATAAAAATGCACATAATCAAATCAAACTCCGTTCAAGAGGTTTCAATTCCAACCCAAACTATTCAACTACTTCCTCTCTAACACAAACCTCTACCATGAAAATTAAAAAACCTGCTAAAACATCAACTTTTGCTTTTATAGCTGTCCCAACACAGTGCACATCCACCTCTTCCACTACTCCAGCCATCAACTCATGCTCAGGTCAGGCACAGGGTTACAAAGACCCCCAACCAGACCCCACGAGGATGATATTTCAATGGTCCTGTGATGTCTGGATGGGAATAATTTAAACTTCAGAATCTGGAATCTTTTTTCTGGCTCAGTTTGCTCATGGTACAAGTTATTCTATTTCTGTGTACCTCAGTTTCCTAGTTTAAAAGCTACGGATTAATCCATTTTCCATTTTGGAAAGAACAACTGATGGCAAATGACACAGAAGTTAAGCTAGCATTTTCCAGATGGAACCCAAAGTCCTTCCTTCTTATCACAATCTACCCAGAATATATCACATAAACAAGCTGGAGAAACTTTGCCAGGTTACCAAAGGGTTCAAAAATTCACAAGCAAGAACACGATAGCATACTTTCTAATACTCAGTAGCACACTTTGTCACACCAAATTAAAACATTAATGAAAAATTAACACTTCAATATATTGGAGTCTTATTGTGATGTCCTGCTGCTGATTATCTACTAAAAAGGAGAGCTGTCACTTTTTCATAACTTGGTGAAATACAGTTTTATTACTCATAAGTGCTCTTTATAATTAGACCCTTAAGGCAGCATTGCTCTCTATGCTAAAGAGACGAGGAAAATAGGACTGTGATGACTCATAACAGATTACCACAGTAAACAAACTGGGAATGAAGTCCAGCTCTTAGGCATCCTACCACACTGCTTTTACTTCACCAGGTAGGTTTTAGATTTCAGAGGAAAAAAAAAATCATATGCCTTTAATAACCAAATACTGCCTTTTCATTTCCCCATTCAGGCTTAAAAAAAAACAAACCCAGAACAACCCTCAACCTTAACTGAATTGAAAAACAAGTAATTTGGGGGATACTAATTGCACCTTAAAAGATATAACAAACAGTTTTCTTTAGATGTTTTGTCAAATATATAAAAAAAGAATGAAACACATTCACAAGTGTGACTGATTACCTGTTCACGCAGAATTTAAGATAGTCAGTCATGACTGATGAAATGCAGCATCCAGACAGCCAGTGCTGGTGCAGGTCATGATGTTCTCTTCTATCATCCCTTGAAACAGCTCCATGCCTGGAAGTGTTTCAGAAGAATCTTGATTCTCTTGGTGATTTTTATTTAGATCTTCAAGACTAATAATATCATCTGAAAAATAAAGAAATTACAAAATTCAGCCAAAAGCACCTAAAATTATCTAATGTAGTCTGTCATCTCTGTTGTGTCAGGATAGAGTATTTCTAGAATAAGCTTTTATTTCATCAGAATACTCTTGATTCCTCCTCCTAAATATGAAATCTTTCATATTTGTCTCTTATGGAGGGGGGGGGGGAGCAGGGAGTGAGAGAGAGCACTCGTGTTTGTGTGTCTATTCCCAATAGAATCTTATGCTTCCTCTCCAAAAGCTTCCTTTTTTTTCTAAAATTCTCTCCTATTTTAGACAGCAAATTCTAGCAGCTTTCAGGGAGGTACTATTATGTATTTTTAAACTCATATTATGAAACTTTTGTAATTGTACTACACTAACACGGAAACAATGGAAAACGACAACCAGCAACCTTATTCCATAACCTCCACATTGCAGGAATTCATGCATGCACAAGTCAGGAGCTTCACATGAACCCTGATACCTCTTACAGCTCAAGGGTGTGACCTCAGGTGCTGTTGACAGCAGCTGAACATGATCTAGCAGTGTGCCCAGGTGGCCAAGAAGGCCAATGGTATCCTGGCCTGTATCAGCAGCAGTGTGGCCAGCAGGACCAGGGCAGTGATTGTATCCCTGTACTGGGCACTGGTGAGGCTGCACCTCAAAGTTTTGGGCTTCTCACTACAAGAACAACATTGAGGTGCTGGAACATGTCCAGAAGATAATCAAACTTTCAGGGAAGTAAAGTCTAAAGAAAGACTTCCTCGTGCTAAACATTCTTCTGATCTGGAATGGGTAAACTTGAGCTAAGTATTGGATTCATTCCACGTGGGAAACTTTAAAAGGCAAGGAATTACAGCACTTGCATCAGGAAACACGAAGTGACAATTCACAGCAAGCATAGCTCTGTCATATCATGTACACATCAAAGTAGCACGAATTCATTTATCACATTCTGGTGCTTTTACACAAACAGGAGTGTTATCAATTATTTGTCATGAAAAACCCTTCAACAAGAAAAATTTTACACAGTTTTTGTATCACAGAATACACTTACCCGTCAAGCTGTTTCCATTCTGCAATCCATTTGCTTTCTCTTTTTCCTAAAATAGATAACAGTAGTCCAGCAAAAAGAAGAAAGTATGTGACAAGAGATTTTGTTATTTGGGGAAACAACAAAGTCCATGCTCTTTTCTTATAATCACTAGTTCATTGCATTTACAGGATTTTCCTAATTGCCACTACCAGAAAAATAAAAGCAAACCTTTACAAAGCAACAGCCATGATGAGGGGAAAAAAAGTAATTTGCAGGTTAACACTTTGTAATTGGACAAAGAGAATTAACTTGCTGACAGTCACTCAGAATGACTTCTCTGCTGCAGCTCTAGCAGAGGTAGTGGAGGATGAGATATGCTTAGATGAGGAGAGAAAACATCTGGATGATGGTAGGTTGTACTTAATGAACACAGGCCAGGTCAAGACACAGGTATCAAAGAAATTTTTTTTCCATTTTGAACTACTTTGAAGCTGATCTTTGAAAACCTGAATCCTACCACAGCCTTGAGCTGGTTCTAGAAATATTCAGAGGAGTACATAAATCATCCACCTCCTCATTGTGGATATAAAACAAATTTACTGGGAAATAACTGAGTAATTCCTCTTTGCACCTGAAATATTGGAAAGTCTTCCAAAATCCCCTAAAATTCGTACCTCCACAGAGGTCTTCCACTGTAAATAGATCATCTTTGAAACTTTCCAGTCAAGAGGAACTATAAAATCATCTGGCAACAAGGATTCTGCAGAAGAAAATATTTTTTGCAGTTGAGTGTTCAGATATCTCCACACCCAAAATATATACTGAATTACAATTTTTGCATACATTATATGTATACTTTTTTTTAAAAAAGCAGATACTTCAACGAGCGAGCGGCAAAGTAAGAATTCGGGATTTCTAGAATCTAAGGCCAGTGCAGAGGAGAGGGAAGAGGGGGAAGGAGATTTGAATTTGGTTTCTTTATTTAGAGAAATGCTTTCCTACCATACTTTCATTTCCCCCACATACTCCTCCAAAACTAGAAAACAAGAAAACCAGAAAGCTTTCAGATGACAAATTAAACAAAATGCAACTCCAGTAAAAACCTTTAAATTTTAAAATGTTTAATTATAGGAATTTGTGCAATATCATTAAAGAAATTATTTTCAAAAATGTTTTAATTCTAACGCCATTAAAGAAGCTGAAAAGAGAGTCTTCATAGGAAAACTGTCTAAAATATATTCTACACTTACATGAGAATCACACAAGAAAGTCAATCAACTAAATGTTCATTTATAAATAACTAAAGACATTTATTTACCAAAATTTTCCCCAACAAAATAATTTCAATAAAAATTGACTGCAATTGCCAGTGTTGTAGAACACTACAGTTCAAATGTGTGCATGAATAAATAGTAACATGTCAATATATAATATGCCACTGAAAAGCACAAGAATTTTTGAAATTGTAGGATAATGATAATCAAAGGAGAACATGGCCAGCCTTCTGCAGACAGCGCATGCAGTTCTGATGGAAAAACTCCAGCAGAGAGCAGTCATAAGCTGGCAGGGCTTCAGAGAGATAGCAAGGTGGGTTGATATTTCTTAAAGGTTATTTCCAAAGGAAGCTCATCTAAATGCCAGATTTTCACCTGTTACTGACTCAGAGAAGAATAACATTTGGTTCACTAACCTACTGATTGTTTGTGAATGCCTGGTTTTGCCTTTTTTTCCCCCCTAGAAGATCCCTGTTTTCAAGTCATGGCCAACTCTCTCTAAGATTATGAAATCTAATCATGGATATGAAGATTCACCAAGTTTGGAGAAGAAAAATGTTTTATACGTAACAGTCAAGGATATCAGCAGTACTTCCTTGCTCTGTTTCAGCTCTGTATGTCAAGTTCTTTGGTGTGTGGTGCCAGATTTAGGTGAATCAGCACTGCAGGTCCTTTGGGGACCAAGCCAAGCAATACTTCCCACAGTTTGCATCACTCTTCTGGCAGGTGTTATTGCCATCAACATTTACAGTAAAAACAAAGAATGCTGAGGTTAGTTTGGCCAGACAAACAGACAAAGGTTCTCCCCAGCTGTCACATGAAAATACATGCTTAACTTTAAATTCTACTGAAACAAACAGATGTAAAGGTCTATATGCTGAAAAGCTGCTCTGTGTTTTTTAATCCTATTTGTTGGCTAAATGAAAGTTACAGTTTGTCCACTAAATTTGGACCCAAAAATTTGAAGGGTCCAAATGCACAGGGAACATGGCTCTTTCACCAGGTGCATACACAGCACTGTATCCCAGGGTGATTCCCAATAAAACATGGTTTTGTTGCTGGTTACAGCTTTGTAGGGTTACCTTAGCCTACAGTACATTTCGAAATGATGGTAGCCACACACAGCTCATTTGAGGACTGATTGTCCTTTCCTTTCCAACTTAAAATGACTAAACTGAAAATACAAAAAATGACAACTGAAGCCCTGGAAGGTAAGTATACAACATTGTGACACTTCTTAACAATGCATGATTAAAAAGAAGGTATTCACTATCAGAAAATGCAACTTGGAAGTTTGGTATTCAATTTCAAATTAACAGATTTTGGGAAACAGGAAACCAGAATGGTTTTATATTTGGAAGTATAAATGGAATATAAAAGCAGACGTACAACCTTTATATAAGAGTACAAATTTTGTAACATGTTTTCATTTAGTTCTGTAATTAATAACAGTAATAAAGTCTTACTCACTAGGATGGATTCAAATGGCAATGAGAGGTTGATACTTTGGATTTAAAGTTAGTAAATTTTTGTTACTAACAAAACTTAAAATACGAGGCCAAACCAAAAGCCGCTTTTGACAGAAACTATCACCAAAGTAGCAGTTATTCATTTCAATAGGATTAATATTTAACTAATATCTGCAATAAAAATTATTATTTAATCATAGTCTTTTTGTTTGTTTTTTGGTTTGGAGGGAGTGCTTTGGTTTCTATTTGTGGTTTTGAGGGGTTGTGGGACTTTTGGGGTTTGAGTTGCTGTTTTTCTTTTATTTTACGTAGGAGTAGTAAGAAGAGTATTATACCCAGTGGAAGACCTGGAGAACCAAAGAGCTGCACGAGCTGAAAGGCAAATCCTAATGATAAGGGAAGTCCCAGAAAACTACATTTCACATCCACATCTTGATTATCTTCAAGTTGTGAGGCCTCTGCTGGTTCAGGGTCATCTGCTTCATTCACCTTTTCACTGCAGCTTGCCAATATATTGGAATCTTCTGGATATTCAGAAACAATTTTAACAGAAGACAAAATATCTGGTTGGCCATTTGTAACCTCTGAAGAAACTTGTTCACTCTCATCCTCTTTTTTATCAACTACCTCTTGCATCTTAAGAGTTGTAGTTTGCTCCTCCTTTGTTCTGGAAGCTACACAAACACTGCAGGAATATTTTGATATAGGAGAACATTGTCCTGAATGAATGTGAGAAATATTGTGTAACAGAGCATCAGCATCAGGAGTGGGTAAGGAAGAGGTTGCCTTGGTGTCACTGTAAGGTGCAAAATATTCCTGCAATGCAGAGTCCTGTTCATGTGCATCTCCACGGTCCTTGCTTAGGAAGTTCTTTTGCTTCACTTCCAAAACACTTTTTTGGGAAATGTTTTCTTTTACTGGGACTTCATTCCCTCTCTCTGTATGATCAGTAATCTCTCTTGGTAGGTTAAACTTTGGTGCTAAGTTGACAATTCTCCTGCACCTTTTCCTCTTCAATGTAAGTGGTGTAGCATCATTTATTGGAACATTTACTTCACTCAAACACTGCATGAAGGTGGCCCTGGCTTCCACAAGGGAATCAAAGTGCACTTCACCAGCTGGAGATGCAGACATACCATTGCTTATTATGTTGCCAAACTCCTCAGTTTCTGTTTCGTAATGTTTTTCCTTTACCAATCCTTCTTTTGACTGATCACAGTTTAGCTGTGAACTGTTTGTCTGAGTTAGTTTAGGTTTCCTCATTTTTTGGGGTCTTTGTTCACCTACAAATTTATCCTCAGACCAAGGGGAGAGAGAAACTTGTGTATCAAAGCCCAGCTGCAATTCCTCAGTAGATAAATTAACTGAAAAACAAGCCCAGGCATTAGAGCTAGTTTCTTCTGCTTTTAATGCACCTTTGCCCTCTGCGTTATTATTGGGCACAACATCACATACCTTTGAATTGTAACACTGACAGATTTGTTTTTCTTCCCTGTTTAAACTTATCAGCTTAGCTTCCAAGTCAGGTTCACATGTAATTTGACACGATTTCGTTTTTTCTTCTATGCTTAACAGTGATGTGTCATTATCTTCAGAGATGCCTTCTGTTTCATGGATGGAGTTTTCATCATTGCTTATTTTTAGGAAACTGCTTTTGCAAAGATTTTCTCTGTGCCTTTGATTTGCTTCCTCATCATTGAATGCATTTTTGGTTAGGTTTTCAGTAGAAAAAAGTTTTACATCTATTAAGCATGAACTGTCACTTTCTACAGGCAATTCGTTTTTCAGTGCACTGTTTGACATCATTGAGACCTCAGGCACAGCAACCAGAAACCTTTCTCTTGAAACCCCTGCAGCTTCTCTTAGGCTTTCATCATCACTGTTAGGCTGCTCTTCACAAACTGTTACTGGATCCTCTGGACCTTTGCTGAACGTACACAATGATTTCCTGTTTTCTTCTTCCACATCCTCCTCTTCACTTTCTGATCTGTCCTGGTCACCTGGAGCTGGATAACGATCTACTCCGTGTAACATTTTCTTCATAATTTCTGTGTGATTAGTTTCCATTGTTTTGTTTCTTTTTCGCTTTTTCTTCTGCTTTGCTTTTGTCAACGGATGCCCAGTGATCGTCTTTAAAACTGCCTTCCTATGTGAAAACAAAAAAAAAAAAAATTAAATGTAAACAACCAAATCTGAGTAATAATGTATTCATGGTGATCAACTTGAAGAATAGGTACTTTATGTTAATATGATGATCAAATACAGACTATCTGGGTTTCTTTAATAGATAAAATCTCAGACAAAACCTTTTATTGATTAAACAAATATACACCTTACAATTCAGGACAATTCCTGAACATTTCAATCCATTTAAAGAAACACAGCTGCTATCTCATTAACTTAGCTTTACAAAAAGTATCACAAATCACTGCAAGACCAAACATGTTTCTGAATGTCTTTCTAGCATGATGTTTGAATAATTGATACTAAAGAACTGGTGCTATTATGAAATTTCATTAAATGTCATGGTGAGCAGAAAGGTACTAAGTGAAGGACACAGTAAGAAAATGTCATCCATTAAAATCAAATACTCAAGTTCAAAATATACTAACCAAAAAATCCAAATAATGTAAAGGTACAGTGACTGCAGCAACTTTGATATTTACTGTTCAGCATATTTCCTGCTTATTCATATGTATTTGGAAAAAATATTTCATATTTTATTATCAACAAAATAATACACTATGGAAAAAAATCACAGGGTTTTAGGAAAAATAACATGTTTATTTACAATTAATTTTGTAGCTTTTTTCAGAACATCTTATTTCTTTTGCCTGCATTTCTCATCAAATCTAACAGATAGCAGCCCTTACAGTGACTTCTCTGAAATATTGATGTTGACCTGTCAGCCAGCTAACCCTGAAACGAACACTCAGAAGAAAAACCTAGTCCAGGCATCTAACTTCTCCTATTGCAACTCTTCAGAGAGAGATTACATTTTCAGAGCTGTGTTTGACTGATGAACCTCTCAAAGACCTGCTCCTTTTCTGTAGCCCTTTGTTTGGGATGTTACTTCACACAATACACTAAAACAAAGCAGTAGCTAGAAGAATTATAGGGTAAAATTAGTTAATTTTTGTGAATCCATATGTAAAATTACTTGCTGTAAGTGCTGTATTCTGAAATTCTAAAGAGAGAAATAAAACATAAAAAAAAAGGGGAGACTGTCCATGTGGAGGGAAAGTCGGTCATTAGGAGGCAACCTGGGAACTAAAGATCACATACGAAACCTATCCTTACTCTTTATTAATTTTTAAATTTATTCATTGTTGTCTCTTATAAGTTCTTTTTAATTTGAACTCCACAAAGCAAACCCTCCTAATTCTCTGAATGCAAAGGACATCAGCAGCCTTCTCAGCATAACAAAGTTAATTGACTGCAACAGGATTCAAGTCAGCCTTGATATTGCTGCAGAGAGCACTACAGATCTCCACAGTGATCTTGTTGGAAAGCACACAAAATTTATTGCCTTAATATCTGGATAAGGCATCCTACTAAGAAACAGGATTTCCTTCAGATGTTGGCATTCAAGTCCACACTGTGCTTTCCTCTCAGTAATGAAAACTGACCTCCTCTTTTCCAAACCAGTGTATTTTCGATATGGTGCCCCATAGTTTAAGTGTGGATGTCTATACCACAGACATTTGAAGTTCCTATCTCCTGAGAAAAAGAGACACAGAATGCCAGAGTTTTAGGATTGAATAGATCTCATTTGTCTATTGAAATAAATTATATCAAAGTGAAGCATCTGCAACAGTAGTCAGAGATTCTTACATGTACCCCAGACTTGCAAGAAATCGTATACTAATCACACATCATGCCTTAAACCTTGACATTAACTTCCTTCTTTGGTGAAGACAAGTCCTGACTTGAAAGTGGTTTTAGACAAGGAAATCCACAGAAGTTTTCAGAACCAAAACCCCCATTACCAGTGAAATAAAAAATAATGTCCAAATTTTAACTGGTTTTAATGGAGTGGGGAATAAAACATCAAACCTGTGCACCAATTCCAAGAAGAATTTATTGTTGTATCTAAAAGTCCTTTGCTGCCAGAACAACTGCAGAAATGACAACCAAATTACGAATGTCAGCACTGGCTCAGGAAAGAAACAAACTTCTCCAGTCTTGGTATTCTTGGATGTGAATTTGTGCTGTTGCTGATCGATGCAAACCTCTCTAATATTCATTCAAGCATGTTTCTGGTGTCTAACCCCTAACACATCTGACAACACTTTCAGGAAAATGCTGACAAAACTTAGGCCGGGATGTCGCATCAAAAGGTATTGCAGAAATGCGGGAAAGAGTCTTAAAGGTAGCATGTAGCTATGACCTTCATGAGTGACATTCAACAGTTCATCATTAATACGACTATGTCATTTCTATGCTTTGGAAACATGGAGGTTTTATAGCAGTTCAAGAAGATTAGTTTTCTAAAGATCTGAATTTCCTAAAGAAAGGCCTAAATCAAAAAGGAAACTGATGAACTATTACATGTAGAATAATAAAATGTATTATTCTTCATGTTTCCAGGTAAGCTTTTTTTCCCAACTGATTCCTAGAAAATACTACTCTAAAGAAATACTCTCTGGCACCATGATGGCATAGCTAAAATTTCCTGCTTGGGGTGAAACCCAGTATCATGTTAAGGTTCCTGCATTTAATGAAGCAGATTGTCTACTCGTTTTCTTTACATTTAATTCCTTCTCTTTTAGTACACCTATATAACTTTTGAGTATTTTCCTTATTGTAAAACCATATAGCACACAAACACTGAGAAGATTCAAGAACTAGCATACACACAGACATCACTTCTTTACAGAGGCATTTGCAAGTAAGTTGTTTTCAAACCCATAAAACGCAGGCAAAAGGGTAAAGAAAAAAAGTGCTGTTTCAGATGACATTTAAATTTTGCTACATTTACAAAACTGTCTAGTAATAAAAAGACCTGAAAAAAAGTAATAGTATCTTTGCTCAAATAGGAATTCCCGTTCTGTAACAACACTTTGAAATTTCTTAGTCTACTGTTTAGACAATATTAAAAGCTTTTTGCCATAACTCTGTTACGTGTGACTTCTAGGTTGTAACCTACTGCTCAAAGTAGCACTGACCATCTTGACTGAGAGTCAGTGCTCAGACGATGCTCTTTACTGGAGAAACAAATGTACTCTCACAGCCACTGAGGCAGAACGTGCAAAGTAATGAATCTAAAGCAGTCAGTCACATTAGGCTGAAAAATGGCAGAGTTACTTATTTGCAGTCATACAGACTTCAGCTCTAGTATGCATCTAAGCTGATGTCTGCTTGATATAAAAAATGCCTGCAGTCACTCCTGTAATGAAATATAGGATAGCATCATAAATTCATCTAGGTTGGAAAAGACCTCTAAGATCATCAAGTCCAACTATTAACTCAGAACTGCCAAGCCCACCACTAAACCATGTCCCCAAGTGCCACATCTACATGTCTTTCAAATACCTCCAGGGATGGTGACTCCATCACTTCCCTGGGCAGCCAGTTCCAAAGCCTGAACACTCTTTCAGTAATGTTTCCTAATAACCAAGCAATATAAGGGAACTGATAAATTTAAAACCCAATTCTAGATGACATTTAGCAATGAGGCACATGCTCTTTCAGAAATGTATGTTATCATTAATCTACAAAGTCTCTGGAGTGGGTTTTCAACATAAAAATTACAGTAGAGCAGCTTACATAAAATAGCATTTACGAGGATACACTTTATCTTCTGCACTTGATAAGTCCAAGTACATTGCTGAATTCCTTGTGACCTAATTTTACTTCAGCAACAACCAGAAACCAAAGTTATAATTTTGGAATAACAAAAAAAAGCCAAGGTACCAGCCTTTTTGTTACATATCTTGCCTTTAATACTGAGTGATAAAAGATCTAATTCCTCAAACCAAATGGAATATTGGTATCAGGTGATCAAGCAAGTAGAAAAAACTACATAACTTGCCAGCATTACTGGGCTTCCTTAAAGCTGAAATTCCATTAGACAACTAAGCATTCAGTTTAGCACTTTGTTGCTGAAGAAACAGTCTTTGTCACCCTTTCCTACTTTGTTCCAGATGTTGCCCTTGCATTTTCACTTTTTTTTTGCTGCTTCTACCACTACTTGTGGGTGGATTCACCTGCCCGACCCTGCATCAAAAGAAAACAACTGCGTACTTTGTTGTTGTGCTCATTTAAATTAGTAAAGCAAGAAGTAAAAGAAGCATCTAGTTAAGACAAAGGAAGTGGCACAGGACTACTTCCAGCAGCAACATGTCAGGTTGCCTCACAACAAGGAAATTCAGCACGAATTATTTGTAAGAGATATTTACACTTTACAGTGTTGCAAATTAATTCCTTCCACCCCAAATCAGTAAAGATGCTACTAACCGGATTTGATCCAAGGTATCTCAGCATTTATTATTCTTTTGTCTTTCAACAGCATTACCACTGGTGGTGAGACTTAAATACCGTCATAAAAGGTATTTAAGTCAGCATTAGATGCACTGATGGATGCTAACAGATGGAGAAGAGGCACCATTTTTAGTTTGACTGGATTTTTCTGCACCATTAAGTATGGCTCAATGTTAAAAGGCAGGTTAAGGAGAAAAAAAGGGCAACATGAAACACTCCAAGTGATCTGAATCCAGCTTAAGGGGATGTACTTACAATACAGAGAAGAAACTGCAGCTTCATCATCAGCCTTCTCCCCACGAAGGCTCATAGAATCGGTTTTCATTTAAGTTCTATCAACATTTAGTCCTTTGAAAATAACATGATGGACACAGTTGCCAATATTATGCACTGGAAGTACAGTATGAATCATCTTGCCAAGTTTGATGACATCAGTTCTATTACTTGATGATACCAGCTAAACAACCTGACTGAAATTAGTCCAGGCTAGACAAGAAATATGCTGCTTTGAGAAGAAGTTTGGAGAAATAGGAACTACAGTCAAATTTGCACTAGTTAATAGTTTGGTGTAACCTGCTGTGCTTTTTACTGATGTACACAGTCCTGTGTGAGATTTTAAGGAACATTTTCAAAAATCTGTAACGGGATAGAAATATCCCACCT